CCAATCAGAACACAGTCAAGCTCCCACCCAATCAGTTCAAACCCCACTGGCAGTTAAAAGGAAGAAACAGCTGCGATCACACATTACTTCTAGAAGCACGAAGCTGAAGACACCAGCCTGAAGATAACGAATGGGACTTTGTCGAAATGTCGCCAAGACACTTCCAATTTTACGCGGGAGAAAACCCGAATAACCAAAGACCTACATACAAACACCTGCGAAAACCTCAGAAAACATATATATATATATATAAATATAAATATAAAATGTAATAATAAATTGCTGACAGAGAAAATCAGAGAAAAGGGGGAAGAAAAAGAGAAAAAAGTCAGCTGATCCCCCGAGCTCAGAATCTCTGAGCTTAACATAGTCCAGATCTCAGTCCTAAACCAAAGAGTCTATAGCTTTACTGGTATAAATTTACAATTATAAAGATTTTTTTTAAATTTATAATATAATTTATATACTTTACTGGTATAGAGTTATAATTATAAAGTTTTACAATCCTTAATGAACCAATGGGACTCATTCTGAGAAAAGGTTTTAGTGCACACAGTTTGCAGGTCAGGCTACGGAAGGTAGTTGCCACTTATCTTCTGATCAGAAACCACACTTCCTACTTACATGTGTGTGGCTTTTTTTGCCATAGGAAAAATGTAACCCTTGTTGTCCGTTCTTCATGGTATTCTTTCATTGTCCGGTGTCCATTGGAGTTGGGAGGCAATACATTTAAATAAATTAATAACAATAAGCCATTTGAAAGATTAAGGCATAAACTGGCAGTGGTGGTCCCAGTGGTTATCAGCATACCAGATGCCATACCAAAAGGCCTTGGACGACACTTAGAAAATCTGCACCTTGACAAAATTACAAAAGGCCATACTGCTTGAATCTGTGTGTGTACTACACCAATTCATGAGGCTCTTGGGAAGATGAAGGCCAACACTGGCTAAAAAACTGGCAGTGGTGACTTCATTTTGTTGTGTTTATAATAACAACCTTTTACTGTAAATGCTTAAAAATCAGAAAATTGCATTCTTTCCTTTCTTAGTCAAATTGGGCTAGAAGTAGAATTTCCTGTTGCAGGTTTTACCAAGCTAGAATAACTATGATGCTCTAGTTCTTCCTCATGTAAAATGAATTATATTATTAGGTTTTTTTGAGGATGCTTGCAGGATTCAGACAACAGGTGGGTGGTTTGTGATGTAATGAAAGAACAATCCCTTTTGCATAATGATTGGTTCTCTGTAGGGTGCTGGATGTTCATTTACTTTTCAGAAGCGATCTCAAATTTCCTAACATACGTACAATAAGAAAACTCATGCTAGGGAAATCATCCATTTTTCATCTTGCAGTGAGAGTATGCTGATATATGATATAAACCATATCATATCCTATGTTTATAACTTTGGTTTCTCTTCTGATTGTATAAACCTTTCACCTTTTTCTTAACTTACGTTTTGATCTGTAACATTCTCAGAAGTGCATTTGGATCCATTGAGGACCTGGTGTCCCTCTGCTAATTGTCAGACTGTGTGCCAAATTGAACCAAGTGACTCTGGATTACCAGTGTCTATAAAATGTCAGAAGTGTTACTTGACATTCTGTTCATCATGCAAAGAGCCTTGGCATGTGGAGGGATCATGCTCGGAAAGCCATATCATGGGGCTTGCAAGTGAGCAAGGGTAAGAAAAGAAATCTGTCTAGCTGTTGCAAAATATTTATATCATTCAAGTTGCTATAAATACTATATTTCTTTATCTAGAAAAAAAAACATTTCTGACACTGGCTAAATAATATAATTAATTGTTTGATAGCTGAAGGGAAGACATTCTGGACTTTGATTGAGGCACCTCAGGTATTTGATGTGCTGCTTCAGCATTCTTGATTCTGGAAGGTCAGTTCCCTTCAGCTAGACTGGCTTTTTGTCAGCCCAAATGGCAGATTTGGGGATCAGGATTAGCTAGACAATATGACAATTTCTCGGTGGGCAAGTGCAATGGAAGCTGTTGCCTGGGTATAACTTCAGAGGAGTAAATAAAGGGAATTAGTTAAGGGCTGTTTTGCACATATTGAGGAAGCATGGAATGAGAGATGCATTTTACTTTCATATCAACTCGTTAAGGCAGAATACTAAAACAGAAATAAGATGAACTTACCTGCTCATTTTCCCAATGGAAAAAAAAATATTTGAATGCCAACATTGTCCAACCATTAAAAACAACAACAGAGCACCTGGGTGACCATCTGTTATTTTTGCATGTGTTTGCAAAGGTTGCAGTAAATAATTGTTGCATAAGGGAAGTACTTTTCTCCAGTTGAAGCACATTTACGTGGGTCAATATTCTTGTAGGCAACTGAAGTCTGGATGATTAGAGAAATAGCCATGGTATCCTTAAGACTGTTTCAGAGTTTTTCCTCCCTTTTTCCCCCCTAGAACACTTATTAAAAGCAACTCAGAAGCTCCAATTAAGCAGTGTCCAGTTTGTCGGATCCATATTGAGCGGAATGAAGGCTGTGCTCAAATGATGTGTAAAAATTGCAAGCACACATTTTGCTGGTACTGCCTACAAAATCTGGATGTAAGTAGTCTCTGGCAAAAAGGTTTTTCTCTATAGTTGTTTAACACTTCTAGCTAGGAAGACTTAGGCATAAAACGATTAACATTCCATGATTGCATCTCATGGTTTTCCTTCTGTTTCCTTTCAAGTTCTGCATCCAAATCCTGTGGTAGCAGATCTCTGACATATAACACTTGATGAGGTTAAATGGAGTTTTGCAAATGATACATCTTCCTTTTTGTTCAGCTTTACTAGATCTTGCTCCTCATTTACCAGTGATTTTTTTCCTGCTTCTGCTGTATGCTTTATAAAGCCTAACTTTATAAAACAGTGGTTCTCAACCTGTGGGTCGGGACCCAATTTGGGGTCGATCGACCATTTCACGGGGGTCGCCAAGCAAGGCTGTCCGCCATTTTTTTTGTCCGCCATTTTTTTCCCCTTTTCCGGCGGGTGCCTTACGTCCCTTGGGCTGGGCCAGCTGGTGGTCGGCCTGCTCCATCTCTGCCACTTGCCAGCTACGCCTCGGCCAGCGCAGGGGGCGGAACCATGCATGCGCGGCGCTCCCGGGCAGGGAAAGTCCTCGACTTAGACCGGTTGGGTAGTCCTTGACTTAGGACCGGTTTAGTCCTCGACTTAGGACCGGTTTAGTCCTCAACTTACGACTGGTTTAGTCCTCGACTTACGACTGGTTGGGGTCGCGGCATTAAAAAGGTTGAGAACCACTGTTATAAAACATGCAGTAAGTAATTGCTTCACAGACGGTTAATTGGTGTCAAAGTGTGGGTGACACTAATTTTTGGAAAATTCCAAGTTTATAAAATAGAGCTGGAGGAAGCCTAAAGCCTCCTGTTACCACTTTGTTATCCAAGAAGGTTGAACCTATTCATGATGGAATACTATTTTGCCTTTCAGAATGACATCTTCTTAAGGCATTATGACAAAGGTCCCTGTCGAAATAAACTAGGCCATTCACGAGCCTCAGTTATGTGGAACAGAACACAGGTATGTCAATATAATAATAATAATAATAATAATAATAATAATAATAATAATAATAATAATAATAATAATAATAATAATAATAATAGTAAAGTTGGAAGGGACCTTGAAGGTCATCTAGTCCAACCAGGTTTCAGGCAGGAAACCCTATACCATTTCGGACAAATGGCTGTCCAGTCTCTTCTTAAAAACTTCCAGTGTTGGAGCATTCACTGCTTCTGGAGGCAGGTTGTTCCACTGGTTAATTGTTCTCACTGTCAGGAAGTTTCTCCTTAGTTCTAGATTGCTTCTAGAACTATTGCTTCATGGATTTGTGTTTATTATAAGGCAGTTTAGTCTAGAATAGAATAGACTTAAAGGGCTAATCAGCCTTCCCCTTGTTAAGATGGCGCTTTCTAGTGGTTTTAAAGCACCAGGCCGGAAATTGGGAGACTATTTATTTAATTGAATTTTTACCCCGCCCTTCTCCTTCCGGACTCAGGGCGGCTGACAGCCTGATAAAAAACAAATACAAAAATACCCCGATTTAAAAACATAATTAAAATGAAATATTAGATTTGGCCTGTGTCAATTTAAAATTATTTTTAAAACCCCACTAAAAATCTCCCCCTAGGCCAGTCCCGCTTGTTGAAATAGCCATGTCTTAAGGGCGCGGCGGAAGGAAGGGAGATCCGGGATCACCCGGATCTCTGGGGGTAGTTCATTCCAGAGGGTGGGAGCTCCCACCGAGAAGGCCCTCCCCCTGGGAGTTGCCAGCCGGCACTGTCTGGCTGACGGCACCCTGAGGAGACCCACTCTGTGGGAGCGTACCGGCCGATGGGAGGCACTCTGAGGCAGAAGGCGGTCTCGGAGATATCCAGACTGTGAGTTCTAGTCCCACCTTAGGCATGAAAACTGGCTGATTGACTTTGGGCCAGTCACTCTCTCTCTTAGCCCAATTCACCTCACAAGATTGTGGGGAAAATAGGCAGAGGAGGGAGTATTAGATATGTTTACTACCTTGAGTTATTTATAAAAATAATAAAGGCAGGATAAAAATAATCTAAAAATAAGTTTTGATGGTGTACAGCTTCATATATATAAGGTTTTCTTTCTTATTTCTTCTTTTCAACTTCCAGGTTGTTGGCATCCTAGTAGGCCTGGGAATCGTCGCGTTGGTAACATCTCCATTACTGCTCTTAGCTTCACCATGCATCATTTGTTGTGTCTGCAAATCCTGCCAAAGCAAGAAAAAGAAACATGGCCCACCACCAACATAAAAATTTCTGCCTATTTTGGATGTGAATGTGTTTATCGTCTTTGTCAGGGAGAAGACTAATGGTTGACGTCTTTCACTGTGCTTTACCAACCAATTCTCCTTTGTTTTGCCAACTTCTGTAAAAAGTGCCTACTGGTTCACAGGTTGCCACTTTATTTACAAGCTGCAGTTCAGGGGGGATGGGGGTGGGAGGGCTATTTGTTGTCATCTGGGTTAACTCTGGGTATTTTTTCATTTTTTTTTTAATGGAGCCGGACTTGTAAGATATTTTAAGGTGTTTCAAAATGACTGCTTTGTTGAAAAAGGCAGATGAAACTGCAATTGTGCACCAGATTCTGAATGACTATTGATTTTCAGAGTACCTTGATGCTGTATTTCCTGAAGTTATTCAGCTGAGTAAGAAAATAAAATGTGTAATTCAGCACTTTTTAAAGAAAATGTTGGTTACTTTAAATTTTACATTTAGAGAATTTTACAATTCTCTAAGTTATCACTTTTAAATATTTTTTTAAAAAATCCATAGCTGAAAAGGGGGAAACAAGAAAACTTATGTATCGAACATAATTGATAGATCATCTTGCCAATCTACACTTTCTTCAAAGGCAAGTAAGGTCAAATAAATTATTTAAAATATATTCTACCTTACTATGGCAGCAAAGCCAATAATACGAGTCTGCCCTTACATAGTAAGCATAAAATGCTGAGCAGATCACCCTATTTGTATCACCCTGGCCTATACATTAATTATTTCCAAGCAGTCGATAAATCCTGAGTGCTAGTTGAGATACTAACTTTGGTCTAGAAATCGGACATACAGCATAACTGACCTGAATATGACATAACTGGGGCTTTATTTATTTTTCTCTAGATTTCATTATTACTATCTTATTCCTCATGGTTGAAGTTTAGCAGGAGAATGAAAATGATATTGAGACATAAGGAGTTTGGTCATCAGTGGAAACAACTGAACTTGCCAAACGGTTTGCTTTTGTAGCTTTACTGTTCAGTAAACAATAGAAAATACTTTAAAAACCAAGAACATGATCCTAATAAATATTGTTGCAATAAATAACAGCCATTTTGTCGAGCTAGGGAGAAGCTGTGAAAATAACACAGTGTTATCTAAACAAATGTTTGTAAGTTGTGGACTACCTGTATATCTACAACAAAACTGTGAAGATAACACATAGCAGCAACCTCAAAACAAGTTCCATGTGTAAGCATAGTTAATAAATCTAGTTTTCAGATTAAATAACTACTTGCCTGTGTTGGAGTATCTACTGTCTCAAAACAGATCCTCAGCTAGTGTGAAATCAAAAGAAGAAACACCTTGAAAATACTGGAAAAGAACAAAGGATGACGAAGAATGTACAGTGCTGCAATCTTGGTTACAAGAAAACCATTCTCTATTCTGATCATGTCTTCATCCACACCACCCAATTCTATAGGTGACATTACATAAACAAGACACTCAACTGTTTCTTGAACAATTAAGTTTATGTATGTATGTATGTAATCTAATACATCAAAGAAAGCCATGTATGTTTCATAATGCTCAAAATGTAGCCTGATGTGATAAAATTATCTTGACTTCTACAAGTAAATGCTTTTAATAAGCTTAAATTATTGGATCACTTGCTGTAGAAATAAATTGCCATATTATTAAGGAATGTTTTAGTTAACAGAATAATTTGTGATTATATTATCTTACATATTCTTTATGAAACAGCAATATTCTATCTATCTAGCATGATGGCTGGGGAATTCTGGGAGTTGATATCCACATATCTTAAGGTTGCTGAGGTTGAGAAACACTGAACTAGGACTACCTGATTTATATGCATCTAATTTTCTGTTATCTAGCTTGATAGTAAAATATAAGCCTTAGGAACCTTGGCCAGTGTAAAAATTTAATGAGTAATAATTAGGACTTGAATCTTTAGTACAATATCAGAATGAAAAGGGGGAGGGCGTAAGAACCACAATGAAGGACCAGTTCTCCTAGTGTAAATTTCACTACTGTCCCCCCAAAAAAACTCTCCACGTCCCCAGTTCTTTTTAGAATTAAAATTGATGAAATGTATAGGAAATTTATAAGTCAGAATGTTTACCAGAAAATGGTAGCCCATCAGATTAAGGATGTATATTTCTTTTTTTTTCTTTTTGCGAAACTTGTTAACATGAATAAATAAAACTTACTTTGACAAAAAGCTGTTGACTTGCTACAGGAAAGGTTTTTTTTAATGTTTTAAAGTCTACTGCTATTTTCAATAGACGTCTCAATAATTTTTCTATACGTTCAGCATTAAGTGGAAAAGAGCAGGAAACAATGGGCAAAAGTCTGTGCTTTCATTTCTACTATGCATTCTCTCAGGTGAATGGCAAATGGATATTATAGAAAATATATTTAGGTTTAGAAAAAAAAAATAGACATCCTGTGTGGTTCACAGAAGTTATCATGCTAATCAAGGATTTCAAAAAGAAGATACCATAATTATTCGATGTTTGTTTAAGCTAGTACAATTTTATTACTCTCTCAGTGTAATGAAGGTGCAAGGCTATAATTTTTTAAATTCATTAATTTTCATTAGAAAATTAGAGACTGTGCGGGAAGAAAGTGCAAATGTTCTTTCTAAGTTACTTAATGATTCGGCATTAGGAGCTTTTAAAAATAGAAATGTTCATCAGTCTGCATTTTCTTTCTTTCCCCCTGCAATATGTCCAAAATCAGAAATTCAGCAAAGCTCATCTTCAGCAAGCTGCTTTTAAAAGAGACTGCAAATATTTAATTTTGTTACTAGAAGACATTTCAGTATGGTCACATATAAGTATTGCCAAGAGAGGAATACAGAAAAGATGGAAAGTAACATTTGTCTTGCTGTGGATTTAACAGCATACTTCAATACTTCAAAAAGCATTGAGACCCAACTCTATAACCTCTAGTCAAGTCAACCAGCAAAAGGAACCTATTTATGGTTTCTTGACTGCGTAATCATCTCCATTGGTGGAATGAAAGACAGCTCTCTGATGTGCTTTAGGTACAGAGAGTTCTTGACTTAAGACCTTTTGTTACGTTCAAACTTAGAGTGGCACTAAAAAAAGTTATTTATGGTCAGTCCTTGCACTTACAACTGTTGCAGCATCCCTATGGTCACGTGATCACAATTTGGATGCTTTGGTAATTGGCACATATTTATGATGGTTGCAGAATCCTGGGGTCACGTGATTGCCATTTCCCACCTTCCCAACGGGCTTCCAACAAGCCAGGTCAATTGTGGAATCCAGATTCACTTAACAACTGTGCGATGCTCTTAACAACTGCAGTGATTCACTTAACACCAGAAGCAAAAATTGGGTGTGACTCACTTAAGAACCACCATGTATAGCAACAGAAATTCTGGTCTCAATTGTGGTTGTAAGTTGAGGACTGTCCTATTTTAGGGAACGGAGCTAACATGTTACCACCATTACGTCCTTCTTGTCTTAGTTGATTTTCCATTCAAAGGAAACTAAATACGCTGTCACTGGTCTTTATTACTGGCGAAAGAGAATGCATTCCTACACCGTACAGGTAATTTTCAATTTACCACCACAACAGAGCCCTAAATTTCTGTTGTTAAACAAGACAGTTGCTGAGTTTTGCTCCATTTTACAAGCTTTCTCATCACAGTTGTTAAGTGAACCATTGCAATTGTTAAGTGAATCTGGCTTCCCCAATGACTTTGCTTGTCAGAAGGTCACAAAAGGTGATTACATGACCCCAGGACACCGCAACTGTCATAATATGAACCAACCTAGAACTAAGGAGAAACTTCCTGACAGTTAGAACAATTAACCAGTGGAACAACCTGCCTCCAGAAGCAGTGAATGTTCCAACACTGGAAGTTTTTAAGAAGAGACTGGACAGCCATTTCTCCGAAATGGTATAGGGTTTCCTGCCTGAACAGCAGGTTGGACTAGATGACCTCCAAGGTCCCTTCCAACTTTATTATTATTATTATTATTATTATTATTATTATTATTATTATTATTATTATCATCATCATCATCATCATCATCATCATCATCATCATCATCATCATCATCATCATCATTATTATCATCATCATCATCATCATCATCATCATCCTCCTCCAAGCTTTTGAATTTTGATCATGTGACTCTGGGGATGCTGCAATGGTTGAGTGAAAAACGGTCACAAGTCACTTTTTTTCAGTGCCGTTGTAACTTCAGTTACTAAACAAATGTTTGTAAGCTGAGGACTATCTGTACAACAAAACATGTCCAATACTGTCCACCCTGTGTAACACTGCTGACTCAGAAGAGGGTATGGTTGTGAGGTACCTACATTTGTGATAGAATACCCATTTTCCTAACTTTGTATTGCTGACGAGTTGAATTACAATTCACAGCCAACATATTTAGCGGATATATGGGTACAAAATGAAAAAAAAACAAACCCGAAACACTTCATACCATATTGAGAAACGCAGGCCCAGTTTTTCTATCCCTTTGTGCATGCCGTACAAAGTCCAAATTATTTCAAAAACAGAATTTTAATTTATGTTTTAAGATAATTAAAACCTGTCACTAATATTAATGGTTGGCACTTCTACTTCAAGTGAAACAAGCAATATAGTTCTGTCTCCTGAGAGAGGTGACAGATTCAAAATACAGATCAAAAGCCAAGCTATAAAACAGAAAGAAAATGTGACGCTGGGCTAATTATGCATCTGATCCTTTTAAAATATTTCCTCCATCAAGGAAAAATGTTTGAATCCAAGGTCACTGAAGCTTTGATTTGTTTTATTATTGGCATACAAACTCCAAACAATATGGCCATTAGCTTTAAGTTGTGGTTGTATCAACACAGCTGTATAAGCTATATTATCTTTTTTTAAAATAATGTTGATGAGTAACCCTCTAATTCAAGTTCTTTCTCCCTGAGAATGTCGAATAGTTGGAAAACTCTACTTTATGAGAACAAGGGTTCTTACCTTTTTCCGAATAAATCTTTCCTGCGTTTAGGAACTGTAGTCTCAGAAAAGATCCCATGTCTTCACCTCTCCCCAATTATAAACTTATCAATCAATCAGACTAGAGCTGGAAGGGAACTTGGAGGTCTTCTAATCCAACCCTCTGCTCAAGTAGGAAAACCTATACCATTTCAGATGGGTCAGATCCAGT